ATCAACATCCCCTCACTCACTCACTCACCTCATGAAAGGAAGCAAATTCCACGACGATGAAGCGCAGTGCCACGGGCAGAGGCAGCTCCACGCGGATCTCCGGCTGGTCGGCCGCCAGCTGGCAGCGAGCGAGCGGGCGGCAGAGCTCGTCTGTAGCGGTCTTGATCTGCTGCAAGTCGCAGGCGGCACTGTTGCTCCCCAGCAGGCGAAGATCCTTCACGGAGCGACCCCTCCTTGAATCGTGCACCGTCATGGTGAACCCCTGAGGGATTCAACGGGAGTCAACAGGAGTCAATGGGTGGATATAAAAGGTTATTTCAGGTGTGCCGAAGGTCCTTCATAAAGCGACCCCTCCTTGAATCGTGAACCGCCATGGTGAAGCCTTGAGGGATTCAAAGGGAGTCAAAGGGAGTTCAAGGGTGGGTGTGAAAGACCGCACAGGCGGTGGGTGTGAGGGGGATTCTGAGGTGTCTGTAAAAGCACTCTCTCCATCCTCCACTCCCCCACACCACCTCTTGATGCACCTCCAAAACCAGGTTCGCTGGAGCCCTGATGTGCACCTCTTAACTCACATTGATAAGCCGTGCTGTTCAGCTCACCTTGATGAGGTGCGGCTCTGTGAGGCGCAGGAAGATGCGGCAGTCTGAGAAGCGCACCTCCTGCCGCACACTCTCCATCCTCACACTCCCCCACACCGCCTCGGGATACGCACACACCGCACACGGCTCCCCATCTGCCTTTCCCCACACCGACCCCCTGCCTCCTCCTCCTCCTTTCCCCCCTCCTCCTGCTCCTGCTCCTCCTGCTCCTCCTGCTCCTGCTGCTCCTCCCCTACCGCCACTGCCAGCACCACTACCCCCACCACTGCCCCCACCACCAGTACCAGCAGCAGCAGCAGCAGCAGCAGCAGCAATTGTTCCGTCGCTCTCAGGGCCCAGGAGTCTATGCAAGGCAGAGTTGAGTGATGAGCTCGGATGGTTGGCCACCGCTTGACTCTGCTGCGCCAGCTGCGTCAGCAGCACGGCTGCTGCTCGTGCTGCCACGTCAGCGGTGCCAGCTGGCTGCTGACTGGACGCCAGGTCAGCGAGGAGCGAGAGGAGGAGGCGGGAGAAGCTGAGGGCGTGGGAGCCGAGACAAGGGGTTTGGGGGAGGATGGCGAGGAGGGAGGAGAGGATGGAGTTGTGGAGAGACGGAGAGGCGTGTTTCCACACTCCCTGCAGTTGGGATAAGAGGGGAGATGGGAGAAGGGGAGGGGAAAGGTGGATAAAGGAGTTAGAAATCAGGCAACAGAAAGGAAAATGGCGGAGAGATAAGGGGGCATGATGCCACAGTCTGGAATTATGAGGAGCGGGGAGATGGGTTGGGAGGGGGGATGGGGTTGGGGGAGAGGGGGAGGGAAAGGGGGAAAATAGTGATGGGGAAGGCACACATACCTGCATGACCATGCAGCCCTGGGATCGCAGCCTGGCAGAGGCAGCAGAGAGCACAAAGGAGGCGATGAACTGAACAATGCCAGTGGCCGCGCCATCCCTGCTGCTGCTGCCCCTCTCTGCCTGCTGTCCCTGCGCCTTCCCCTGCTCTTGCTGCCGCTGCCCCTGTTGCTCCTGTGTCTGCTGCTGGGAATCCAATGAGACGCCAAACAGAGCAACTGCTTGTGCACCCATATCAACCGCACCAAACCCCTTTCTTTTCTTGCTACTGCTGCTGCTGCTTTTACCGCTGCTATCACAGTCAAACGCAAGAGCCACCAGCTGTAGCGCGCACACAGCGAGGGGTTCATCCTCTGCCGCCCAGCGGGGAGAGGATGTAGCGGCTGCTACGGCCGCCAGCAGCTGTAGCGCTGACGTGTCCTTGCCTGCGCAGTACCAGCGCCACGTGGACGGCTGAGATTGCGCCACGTGGAGTGTGGCGTTGAGGAGCAGGAGGGATTGGACTTTGACGGAGTAGGGGAGAGGAGGAGGGATGGGGGATGGGAGGTGGGGAGAGGAGGGGGATGGGAGCTGGGAAGAGGAGAGAAATGGGAGGTGAAGAGAGGAGGGAGGAAGAGCGAGGAAACGGAGGAGAGAGGAGCGAAGACCATGCATGTATGCAGCAAGCTTACACACACGCTGCATCCTCGCACACTCCCTCTCATTACCCCCACAGGTCAGCAGCAACAGCTGCCGCACATACTTCCCTTCTCTCCTTCCCATCCCTCCCGCTCCACCCCCTCCCTCCTCCCCCGCCTTCCCACCATCACCACCCCCTCCACCACCACTCCCACCACTCTCAACCGCTCCAAACCGTCCCAGATCTACCTGGGCAATAACCGCGCCCTCTTTGGTCCGCTCCTGCTCTTTGGGCTGAGCCAGAACTCCCTCTGAAGCAGCTCTCTGCAGGTACGCACACAGCAGTGGCTGCCATGCCGACTCAAATCCCTTCTCACTCACAAATTCCTTCTCACTCGGTACACCTTTCTCTGTGAGGCATACGGGTGCCACCTCAGCAGAAAGGCACAGCGCCCACTGCAGCAGCTCCTCTCTCCCCTTCCGTCCAGCCCCAGAGGGGTTAGTCTCGGTGGAACTAGATGTGTCGGTGAGTGGGGCGTGTGGGTGGCAGGAGGAAACAATGGAGTGGAGGAGGGCGAGGAGCCTGCTGGCAGCGGAGCATGAAGAGCGGCTGAGAAGGAGGTGTAACCCGAACTTGGAACCATGTTGCTGTTGTTGCTCCCGCTCCTGCTGCTGCCGCTGCTGCGGTTGTAAACGGTACTGCAAGGTACGGAAGAGCAGCACAAGGAACTCCAAGAGGCAGGTCAAAGCTGCCATGTCAGCACTAACACCACCAGCACCGGCATCCACACGCCCTTCCCTCGCTCCGGACAACTGGCGCCAGCCGTGCTCCAGCTCATCAACCAGCCACGTCAGCGTCCACGTCAGCAGCTGGGCTCCAGGCGATTCCAGGTCACCCGTTTCCTTCTCCTTCCTCTTCCTTGCCCCTCCGTTCTTCTCCTTCCTCTCCTTCTTCTCAATAGAACCTACACTTGGCATAGCAACCCCCATAGGCCCCACCCCTGCTGCCCCTGCTCCTGTTACGCGCAAGAGCAGCTGCAGCAGTGGCATGGGAGGGGAGCGAGGGCAGAAAGTATCAGAGGAGGGGGGGGTGAGAGTGGGTTGGGGCGGGAGGGACCATCCAGGGGAGAAGGAGGAGAGCAGCTGCTGCAGCACCTCCCGTCCCACGTGGTTCATACGCATCCTCACTTCCTCCCACCTCGCCTTCTCCTGCTTCGTTTTCTCCTCCTCCTCCTCCTCTCCATCCTTCACCATATTCCCTGTGCTTTCCCTCTTGTCCGTCCCATCAGTCCCATCGGCCCCCTGCTGCTCCTGCTCCTGCCCCTGCTGTTCCATCTCACTATGTGCCTCTACCCCTGGTTCCCCAATCCCTGAGCCACCGATTGACCCACCAGGATCCAACCCAGTACCATACTCAGCACCAGCGGTACCATCCTCACCAGCATTACCATCCTCACCAGACTCCCCACCAAACCCGTACCCAAGCCTATCCATAAGCCCCTCCACTCCTCCTTCCTCCCCCATGCCATCCACTGCAGGATCTATGGGAATGGAGACCATGGGGTGTGAGATGCTGTGCGAGCTGAAGGGGAAGAGAGACGCAGCAGAACCAGCAGCAGCAGCAGCAGCAGCAGCAGCTGCAGCACCAGCAGCAGAGGAGCCACCAGAAGCAGCGGCAGCGGAAACGGCCTGGTGGCACTCGTTACAGAGGTCAAAGTCGTCACACACGAGGCAGTGCCATCGCACGTCCTGAATGGGGCACACGCCGCAGGAATCACAGCAGAACTGCACCACCGACAGCTGCGGGTCTATGTTCTGATCGAACTCATGATGCCCAAAGTGTTGATTGATGTGTTGAGTCATGTCTGTTTGGTCTATATCCATGTCTTCTGCTGAGCCCTCCCCCTCCACCACCCCACTCTCCACATACGACCCAAAACCAGCAGTTCCAGTCGTAGCTCCAAGAGCAGCACCTTCTGCGCCAAACCCAGTGTCGACACCAGAAACATCGGCACTGTCTGATGTGAAGCTTTGGGGTGCTTCTCCTCCTGCTGCTGCTCCTGCTGCTGCTCCTGCTGCTGCTCCTGCTGCTGCTCCTGCTGCTGCTGCTGCTGCTGCTGCTGCTGCTGCTGCTGCTGCTGCTGCTGCTGCTGCCTGCTTGCTGCTTGTGTCAACCACGTTGGTTGCTGCTGTTCCATGCTGCATGGACGGCTGGCGGGAGGCTAGTGGCGGCGGCGACGGGAGAGGAGGCGGCGGCAGGAAGAGAGCACAGAGAGCCGTCCTGTGGTTGACACAAGTTGACGCAGGGAGAGACGCAAAGACAGAGAGGGGAGCGCAACGCGTGGTGAGCACGGAATGTCCAGGGTGGGTCTTGATCTGGCAACGCGTGCTTGACGCAATGGGGGGGTGGGTATTTGATACAAAGACATGAAAATGGGTTGCAGGTGCACACGGCTTACAAGGGGGGCTTACACAAGTGGTTTGTAAGGAAATAGATGGTTTTTGAGGCGCCCCAAAAGGCGCCTCAAAAACAGGTGCACACGGTTTATAAGAGGAGCTTACAAGTGGTTACAAGAGGAAATAGAAGAAAAGAATGGTGTGTAGGCGAGGCGTGTTTTGAGTCTACTCAAAACACAAATAGATGACAAGAATGGTGTGTGGGACATACCAGCACGCCTCTGCAACAGCAGGATCAGACGAACGGAGAAGGCCCTGTAACCTGGTAACCACCCACTGCATCGTCACTCCGGATTCAGCAGCAGGCACAGAAGCAGGAGAAGCAGCAGCAGCAGTGGAAGAAACAGCAGTGGGAGGGGCAGCCGGAGCAGCAGCTGAAGCAGCAGCTCCAGTGGGTTCAGCTGGGAGTAGCAGACTGCCTGCTACACCAACCAGCAGTCGCACGTATGAGGCCACCAGCGCTTGCTTCACCCCTTCAGAAACCCGACCAGCCCCCTCCTTGCAACTTGCATCCGTTCCCTCCATCCCCTTGCCATCTCCACCATCCTTTCCTTTCCCCCCCACACCCTTCCCATCTGCATCCGTTTCCCCCACCCCCTTGCCACCTGTATCTTTGCCACCCATCCCCTTGCTGCCTGCACCCTTGTCATCGCCCCTCTCTGCTGTCCCATCTGCAGCACTCTCGTCCGGAGCCTGAAGCACCGAGAGAAGGCGGTTATGCAGGTCTTCTACGGGAGCAGCGCTTGGAGCGCCTGTAGTGGGTGTGGAGGAGAGGAAGTGGCGCACGCTGGAGGGTCGCAGCAGTGCGATGTGAGCCATAGCGTCCATGTGCCTCTGGAGAGCATAGGCTTGCTGGTTGGGCTGTGTCTTTGAGGCGAGAGACAGCTCTGTTGAGTCGCAGGCCTGAAACCCAGGAGAGGAAAGGGGAGGGGCGGGGATGGGAGAGGATTGTTGTGAAGAGCTTGGAGAGGAATTGGCGGAGGGTGGAGGGTCGCAGCAGTGCAATGTGCGCCATGGCGTCTATGTGCCTCTGGAGAGCACATGCCCGCTGGTTGGGCTGCGCGTTCAAGGCGAGAGGCAGCTCTGTTGAGTCGCAGGCCTGAAACACAGGAGAGGAAGGGGGAGGGGCGGGGATGGGAGAGGAAGGTTGTGAAGAGCTTCTTGGGGAAGTGGCATATACTGGAGGGTCGCAGCAGTGCGATGTGAGCCATGGCGTCCATGTGCCTCTGGAGTGCATAGGCTTGCTGGTTGGGCTGTATCCCCAAAGCGTCCATGTGCCTCTGGAGAGCACATGCCCGCTGGTTGGGCTGTGTCTTCAAGGCGAGAGACAGCTCTGTTGAGTCGCAGGCCTGAAACACATGAAGTACGGGAGGTGGGCCGGGAGGTGGGACGGGGGGTGGGACGGGGGGTGGGACGGGAGAGGAAGGTTGTGAAGAGCTTCTAAGGGAAGAGGCACTTGCCACGTGCGCAGCATGTCACATGCTGGCTGGCTGGCTGGTCGCAGCATGTCACATGCTGGCTGGCTGGCTGGTCGCAGCATGTCACATGCTGGCTGGCTGGCTGGTCGCAGCATGTCACATGCTGGCTGGCTGGCTGGTCGCAGCATGTCACATGCTGGCTGGCTGGTCGCAGCAGTGCAACGTGCGCCATGCCACGGCATCTTTGTGCCTGTGGAGGGACTGACTCTTCGTAACATCCGCAGGAGGAGGAACGAGCTGGCATGTCAGCTTTGGGCACGGCAGGAGCAAAGAACCAGCTCCTACTTTCTATCTGTTCACCAACTTATATAGGCCAAACATACCTGGACGAAATCAGCCTGGGACGGACGCAGCGATCGGCACAAGCCCAGCAGCAACTCTGCCATGGACCCTTCTCCCACAGCACCAGCACCACCACCACGGGAGAACCCTAAATCACCACCACCACCTTTCACGAGACTGCCCAGCCTCTCTTCCTCCTCCTCCTTCTCCTCCTCCTCCGGGCCTCCTCTCAACACCTCCTGGAGTAGCTCCTTCAGCAAATCCTCCCCCAGCAGCTGCACCTTCCCCAGATCCACCTTCCCTTCCTGCCCCTCCACCTGCTCCTCCTTCTCTCCCTTCTGTCCATCTTCTGTCTGCTGTTCTGCCTGTCGCTCTGACTCCTGCATTGCGTGCTGCTCTCCCTGCTGCCAGCCCTCCCCAGCACCACCACTCAAAAGCCCAGTCAGCACTGCCAAAGCATCCCCAACCACTCGCTCCTCTCTCTCCTCATCCACACACAAACCCTCCCCTCCATCTCCCCTCTCCTCCCCGCTCTCCCTCCCCCTCTCCACCCCCTCCCCCTCCCTCCTCTCCCCCTCCTTCCCTTCCCTCTCCTTTCCCTCCTCCACCTCCCTCTCCCTCTCCCTCTCCCTCGCCCTCCTCCCCTCCTCTTCCACAACCCTCTTCCACTCCCGCCACCACCCCAGCACCTTCCCCTTCACCTTCCCCCACCCAAACTCCTCCTTCCGCCGCCCGTACACCTCCAACCCATCCACCCTGGCACGCGCGTTCCCCCCAAAAGCAGGGCCCACGTGGATGCTGACGTGGCGGTCTGCCAGCAGGGATTCGGCGGGAGTGAAGGGGAGATCGTACCAGCGGCGGGAGGAGCGGTCGAGGGGGAGGGAGCGGTGGAAGAGGGAGAGGGAGGAGGGGGTGTGCGAGGAGGGGGAGATTCCAACGAGGACGCGGATTCCCACAAGGAGAAGACTGGAGTTGGTGTTGGTTACGGTGATCTGGCCACAGAAAAGAAGAAGGGAAGAAAGGGAGGAAAGGCAGCACGACTTGCTGGTGTTGTTTTCAGTTGCTTGGGGAAATAAGAGCGAGGAGCAGTGGAAGAGGGAGAAGGAGGTGGGGATGGGATGTGTGAGGAGGGAGAAAGTTTCAAGAGGACGTGAACGCACATATGTGTGTTGGCTATGGAAATCTGGAGGGAGGAAAAAAGAAAAAACAATTTTGAGCTTATTAAGGTTGTAAGATGGGGGCAAAAACATACGCTGATGGTAAAGGTGATAAGCGGGAGGGGGAAAACTGAAGGGAAGTTGTGTGCAGGGAGTGGGGGTGTGAAAGGTGGGGAGGCGAGGAGGCAAAGATGCATATACACTGCACACGCACCTTGAAACCCTTTGAGGAGGAAGCTTCCAAGAAGCCGTCCTCGGCCATGAGATTATGCAGCACGGTTTCACTGTCCATGTCACTCATCCCTGCCACGTCAGCAGCAGAACCTGAACCAGCACCTGCACTCCTCCCACCACCACCAGCACCACTGCCACCACTGCTCCCGCTCCCGCTCCTGCTGCCCCCGCCACCACTCCCCCCACCACCGCCACTCCTGCTGCCTCTCACCCCTTGCACTGCAAACCGCACTTCCGGGGTAACACACACCGTATGCTCAAAGAAATCGTGGGGGAAACTGGGAGTCCACCCCGGCGGCTTCCGGCGGCCAATCAGATCCAAGGGCACTGCCGGGAATGGCCTGGAAAGCTGCAATGCACATAAACCCGCCCCAGATGATCCCGTTCCTGTTGCTCCCCCTGAAGCTGCTGCTGCTGGTGGTGCTGCTACTGGGGCATCTGTTTTGCTGCCTGCCCCTCCATTATCCACAATGCAGAGCAGAGTATTCACAGCGATTTGCAGTTCCTCCTCTGGAGAAAGAGGCTTGTGTGGGGGTGTGGGGGGAGGTGGGGGAAGGGGCGGACGACGGGTCGGGGGAGCACTGGCAGGGGCGGCTGTAGCAGCAGCAGTTGAGCCGGCTGTAGCAGCAGCAGTAGACCCGGCTGTAGCAGCAGCAGTAGACCCGGCTGTAGCAGCAGCAGTAGACCCGGCTGTAGCAGCAGCAGTTGACCCAGCTGTAGCAGCAGCAGCTGCAGCAGCTGTAGCAGAAGAGGTGGGTGTGGCAGGCGCTCCTGGTTGACCAGCTGCCACGGCTGTAGCAGCTGTAGCATCTGTGGCAGCAGTACTGCCAGCAGCCCTTGGGGCTGCAACATCAGGGGCAGAAGCAGAGGTGCTGATAGGGATGCTGGCAGGGGCCTCAGAAGCAACAGCAGCAGGGTAAGGTGCAGGCACAGGCGGAACCAGCACAGATGCGGCAGCTGAGGCAGGGTGAGAGGTAGGCGTGTCAGCAGCATCAGATTGGTCTGCTCTAGAGGAGGAGGAGGTTTGCAGTGCAGTGAGGGAAGGTGCGGATGCGGTGTAAGAGGAGGGAGAGGGAGGATGAGTGCCGAGCACCACTAGAGAACCATCCTGATACAGCAGCACCACTCGGTTATCCCCATCCACCTGACCAATCTCCTGAGCCTGAACCCTCCCACTCTCGCTTTCACCCTCCCTCTGCTCCTCCTCTTGCATATCCTCCTCTTCCTCCTCGTACTCCTCCTCCTCCTCTTCCTCCTCCTCTTCTTCTGTCTCACTACCCTCCCTCTCCTTACTAGCTCGACATGCTGCCACGCCCACAATGCAACCAGGGTGGTTACCACCACCAACCTGGTTACCACCGATAGGGTTACCAGCGGCAGCGTTACAGACCAGAGCATGGGAGAAGCATGGAAGGCCCCTGGTGAGATGCTCTAAGGGTCCAGACGCCAGCAACACCCGGCAGCTGCTTCCCTCACTCAACACCACAGCGCTTCCACAGTAACTGCTGCTGCTGCTGCTGGTGCCGCTGTTGCCACTGCCGCCGCTGCTGCTTCTGAAGCTGAAGCTGTCCCCACCCCTGCCCCTGCGGCTGCCTCTGCTTCTCTCCCTGCCCCTTCCAGACGCAACCTCCCACTGCAATATGCCTGCTTCCCAGGCTCGGAACCCTTCCGAAGCTAGCTCCCGAACCTGACCCTGATGCCCAGCCGCTGCAGATGGTGCGAGTGGTCCCTGGTTGTTGATGGTGATCTCCTGCAGCAGAGATATTGCCTGCCATAGCAAAGCAGTCAGGGAAGAGAGGTGCAGTAACATGCGGGATACTGGTTAACAAGGAAGAAAAAGGAGACCTCCCGCAGCAAAAATATCCTCCTTCCGTTGCTGTTCCTTCCACCAGGCCAGGGTACAAAAAGAGGCCTCCCTTCACTGAACCCCCCTGCTAAAACGGGATCTAAAACTGCTAGAAACACGAGCTTTGCTGAAACTCACCTGACCAGAGAGCGTGAGGCGAGCAAAGAACAGCAGATGGCCATCAGAAGAACGAGAAACACCTTGTGTGTTGCCTTGCCGCCAGACACAGGAACCCAAATTCCCTTGTCAAAAGACGAGTTTTGAGACATCTCAAAGAAGCTCACCTGACCGGAGAGTGTGAGGCGAGCAAAAAAGAGCTGATGGCCATCAGGAGAGACCAGAAATCCTTCGTGCGTTGCCACTGGACACAAGAACCCACCTCCCCTCGTTCCCACAACCCCTCCGACCTCACCCAAAGCTACACCGCTTCCTCCTTCTCCTCCTCCACCTCCTCCCTCTGTTTCCCCAGCTTCTTCCAAAGACGCAGGAGCGGAAAGACCGGCCCGAGCCTGATGGTGCCAGGGTAGGCCCGAGCCTGATGGCCGGAGTGACAGGTGGCGCAACGTGACGTGCTGACATGGCATGAACAGGAACAGATCGAATCCATTCTCTGCATCATCATAATCATCCTCGTCCTCATCCTCCTCCTCTTGATTGTCGTCTTCATCCTCCTCATTAGCTGATTCGCCATCGTCTATGGTTGCATAGTACAGTGCAGCCTGTCACAAACGACAACGATATTAAAGAGAAGGACTGAGCTCTATTAACAAAAAAGGAAAGAAAGCGTTGAGTAATTATTTAAGACTCAAATCTATAAACAGAAAGAACAAGCGGATCCTCACTCAGTGAAAAAAACAGAGGACAGGGAAGATACACAACAAGAGCAACGGAACCTGAGGAAGCAGATAAATTCAGGGGTAACAAATTACTAGCACACTGGAAGGGAAGGCAAACCTACTGGACAGAGGCACACACTACTCACCTGGCTGGTGAGTCTGTTTTTTGAGAATTCTCAAAAAACACACACTGCTCACCTGGCTGGTGAGAACTGTCAGTTGCATCTGGGGACCTTCCTCATCATTCCTATGCCCATGCCCATCATCCTCATCCCCATCCTCGTGCCCCTCCCTCTCGTCATCTTCGTCCTCCTCCTCCCTCTGCACCACACACACATCCACAATCTCCTCCTCTCCCACCTTCCCTACTCCCACCCCCTCCCCCTCCTCCTCTCCCTCTTCCCTATCCCCCTCCTTTTCCTGCTGCGCATATGAAGCTCCTCCTCCTCCTGAAGGTTGGCCCGCAGGGAGCTGGAAAGTGGCAACCAGCTGAGCATCATACCCCACAGCCACTGCAAACAGGAGCGCCGCTGAAGGGGTCGCCACGAGCAGTCGAGCCTGCAGCAAGAAAGAGATTCAGGGAGGAAGGAATGGAAGGGAAGGGATGATTGATTGGGTAGGAGTAGGTGGGATGGGAGCTGGAAGATGGCAATCAGCTGGGCATCGTATCCCACAGCCACTGAAAACAAGAGAGCCGCTGAGGGGGTCGCCACCAGGAGACTAGCCTGTAGCAAGAAAAGAGAGTCAGGGAGGAAGGGAAGGGAAGGGATGATTGGGTGGGAGCGGGCTTGATGGGAGGTGGAAGGTGGCAACTAGCTGGGCATCATACCCCACAGCCACTGCAAACAGGAGAGCTGCTGCGGGGGTAGCCACGAGCAGGCATGCCTGCAAGAGATAGATAGAGTGATTCAAATGGGGAGGGGTGACGGGGAGAATATCACTTCAACGGGGTTTAAAGGCTTTAACAGAAAGTGTGAGATGATGCAAAGTGCAGAAGAGAATGTATTTTCACAAAGACGGAAAGAGAGAATACCTTCTTCTGAACGCACGCACCTCCAGAAACGGGCCTCCTGCAAGGGGCAACCAGCACATCCTCTTTATAACCACATCTGTTTCTGGAACAACTACTTTGCCAGGCCCATCCCCTTCTGCTTCACCATCACCCTTCTCCTCCTCCTCCTCCTCTGCCTCCCCATTCTCCTCCTGCTGTTGCTCTTCCTGCTCCTCCGCCTGCTCCTGCTGCTGCCTGTGTGGCCGGCGGTGTTTCCTTGCAGTGCGAAGGCCAGCACGCAGGTTCACCGCGGAGCGAGTGACGAGCGTGCAGTCATCGTCCAGCACTAACACCTGAAGGAGAGCAAGGTAGGGGAGATGCGGAAACAACGAGAGAGGAGGAGAGAGAGAGAGAGAGAGAGAGAGAGAGAGAGAGAGAGAGAGAGAGAGAGAGAGAGAGAGAGAGAGAGAGAGAGAAGCATAGTGAAGGGATAGTGGCACGCAGTTTCATAGCATGTGCGATCGTCATCAATAAATGCCTTACCTCAACCTGGTTCGTCCCTGCAATTGCAAGCAGCGAGTCGACAGAGGGGTTGAAGGCCAGCATGTGCACGGGGCACCCCACAACATGGAAGGGGACCCACGTCCACCTCCCCCATCTCCATCGGCGCTGCTGCATTGAACACATCAGACTGGTCTTACATCGAACATGAAGTGACTTACCTCCACCTGGTTGGTCCCTGCGACAGCTAGCAGCGAGTCCACAGTGGGATGGACGGCCAGCATGTGCACGGGGTACCCCACGTCCACCTCCCCTATCTCCATCGGCGCTGCTGCCACCTCCACCGAAGGTATAGGTGCCAGGTCAGTAGCAGCGGCGGCGGCGGTGGTGGTGGCGGCGGCGGCAGCAGCAGCAGCAGCGTGATCATTATCCGCTCCTGTACTGGCAGCAGTGCGAGGGACTATGTCATCCGCCTCCCACAGCCTCACAGTTGACCCTGCCCCAATTGCCACCTTCCCCCCGAGACTGATCGTCAAGAGCGACGGCGGCCCAGCTGCTGCTTTGCCAATCCCAACCCCTGCAGCATCTGCTACGTCTGCTGCATCTCTTGAACCTTCTACATCCGCTGCACCTGCTGTTCCTGTTTCACCTGCTGCTCCTGTTTCGCCTGCTACAGGAGCCGAAGCAGGTGGGAGGAGGGGGAAGGAACCAGCCGGGTACAGGCGCAGAGGTCTGCCTAAGTCTGCTTGCTCTACTGACAGCAGCGCTTCTGGCAGCGCAGGAGGAGCCTCAGGTGCCGCTACAACCACCTCTGACGCAGCAGCCCCCTGCCTGCCCTCACCTGCTCCGCTCCCTTCTGAGCTTGCTTCAACTACTGCCTCACCTCCCACCTTGGACCCAGCCTCCTCCTCCTCCGTCCCACTGCCTTCGCCTTGCAGAGTCGAGCCTTCTGCCCCTGATTCTTTGCTCTCAGACGGCTCCTCACTTGCACGCCCTGACTTCTCCTTCCCTCCCTTGACTCCCTCACTCGCCCCATCGTGCCCTTCCTCCACCTCCCTCTTTGCTTCTCCTTCGTCCCCCTCCCGCACCTCACCTTCTTCTTTCTCCTTTGCCTGACCTCCTCCCTTCTCCTTCACCACACTCTCGACCACCTCCAACCCTTCACCTTCCACTTTAACCTCCATCTTTTCCCCTCCCTCCACCACCTCCGCTTCCCCTTTCACCTCGGCCTTTTCCCCTTCCATCTCCCCCATTTCATCCACCACCACCTCTTCTGCCCCCTCCTCACCAAGTCCTTCCTCCCCCTCCCCACCCCCTCCCTCCCCCAACCTCACTCCATCCTTTTCCTTCCTCGCCCGAACAACCCTCTCTCTCGCCAGTGCCTTGCGTCTCAGCCAATGCCTGCGCGCCAGCTGGCAGATGGTATCCACCACCTGCTGCCGACTTAGCTCCCCGAGAACCAGCACTCGAGTCGCTGCTACAGTTGCTTCTCCTGTTGCTGCTGCAACATCCCCGTGCATGCCCTCTCCACTGACGGTCATCGTTTCCTCCTCCTGACGCTTCTCCTTCTCACCATCCTTCTTCTCAGAATCGTTTTTACCATCCTTCTCACCTCGCTCAACCCCACTCACGTCCTCTTTCTCCCCCTCCTCACCTTCTCCCCCCCATGCCTTCCCTGACAGAGCCCCCCTGAGCCCTCTCACAACCTCTTCGCTCCACAAGCCCTCCTGCAACCTCAGTACTCCCCCTCCATTCCGTTTCTCCTTCCCCAACAACCCTTCCCAGCAAAGCTTCTCTGATTGGCTCAAAAACGCCTCCACTCCCACCAACCAATCCGTTTCAACCTCAGAACCCCCTCCCTTTCCTCCTCCTACTCCTCCTCCACCTCGCTCCTTCCCTCCGTTCCTGTACCCACCAGGCCATCCAAACGTGCCTCCCGGCAAAGCCACTCCGCCTTCTCCTCCCGGTACCCCTCCTGCTGCTGCTGCCTGTTTCATTGACCCCACAGGGCGGGGCTTCAGTGCAAAGCAGCCCTTGAAAACGCTTTCATCCCCGCCTGCCCCGCTCCCCCCACTGGCTTCCCCTCTTCCCGCTCCCCTTGACACCTCCCCCTGCCGCGCCAAGCCTGTTCCGGACCTCCTGCGCCGGAACCGCTCCCAAACCGCAGCTGGAGAAGACCCCGAACCTGTCGCCGACTGACTAAAAGCCCCCTGGTTCGGCAAGCCCGTGGCATCCGAAGCAGCAGCACTACCAGCACCACCAGCACCAGCAGGAGGAGCACCAGAGCGTCTAGCAGGTCCTGCCAGGGAACCACTCGTGTGGGCGCCAGGAGGGGCGCTAGACGGGGGAGCCGGGCCAGTCGCACCGCAATCACAGAAGAACCTGGAGAAACGCGAGTACACGAGCTTATGGCCCTTGTGGCACACGGCAGCGCAGACGGAGCAGCAGCCGCGGGACACTGTGAGGTCGCAGGTGTAGCAGAGGTACCAGTGCTGCTCCATGAAGTTGCTGCCACTCACCACAAACGAGCACACACGGGACGCCACAGCCCTCTCCTCGTCCGCCTCTGCTGCTGCTTGCGCGGATAAATCCGCTGGGGACAACCACCCTGGTGCCGCAGCTGCTGCAGCTCCCCCTGCTGCTCCTGCTGCTGCTCCTGTTCCTGCTGCGGAGCCAGACGCAGAGGGGAGTGATGAGCAGGAGCATGAGGTTCTGATGGAGTCGGCAGGGGTGTTGAGGAAGCGACTCTCGAGCTCCTCATCAGACCACCCGTCCTCTCCACCTTCCGGTTTTTCTGCATCGTCATCCACCTTTCCCTTCTCCTCTTTCTCCTCCTCCTCTTCCTCCTCCTCGTCATCGCCCTCTTCCTTCTCTGAATCCTCGTCTTCTTCCTCTTTCTCCTCCTCCTCCTCCTCCCCCTCCTCTTTCTCGTTCTCTTCCTCTGCTTGGTCTTCATCCTCTATCCCCTCCTCACCCATCCCCTCCCCCAATTCCTCATCTCTTAACTCAAACCTCCCTGTCTCTTCTTCTTCTTCCAGAACACTCCCTCCTCTTCCCAGACCACCACTACCCCTGCAGGCGGACAGGACAAGGGACAGGAACGACAGCAGCACGTGTAGAACTTCCGCTCTCGCCCCGCCCGCTCCTCTCACAACAGCAGTCTCTTTTCCGTTACCAGCCCCCAACTGAACCTCAACTCCTGAATGTTCTCCGTCTCCTACTCCTCCTCTTCCAGCATCAGCTTCGCTTTCCACCCCCTCCTGCGGCACCTCTTGCAAAGTACCCACTCCCTTATTCAACGCATCTAGCCCCATCTCATCCAGAACAGCAACTGCACCAGCCACCAGCGCCAACAACTGTTCCCCAACAAGCCCTGCGGACACACTCATTACTGCAGACACACCCTCTGCAAAAGAGGCCTTCCCAATCTCTGCGTGAAGCGTTGCTCGCACACCGACGTCCAGCAGCCGCTGAACCAGCTGCGCGTTCGGGGCTTCCGCCAAAGCAACCGCCTTCAGCACTGTCACAACTGCGGTCACAGCAAGTTCGAGGACCCTCGCGTCAACAGCTGCGCGTTTCTTTCCCTCCTCTGCGTTGCCTTCGCGTCTGTCTTTGTGGCTGTTCTCGGGTCTCCCGGGTTCAATCCCTACCTCGGCACTGGCATCGTCAACATCGCCTTCCCCACCTCCTTCCAGCGTCCCCTTCCCGTTCTCCTCTCCCTCGACTGTTCCTTCACCATTTCCAGCAACGAAGCTGGCCGACGCGTTCCCAGCCGTAGATGCCTCGTCTCGACGATCACAGCCGTCCAGGAGAAATTTCATAAAGTCCTGCGTATCCGTTATAAGCAGCCGCTCCGATTCCGTAAATTCTCTGGTCGGTAGATCCCCGACCTCGGATACATCACCGAGGGAGAGGACGTTTCTCGCTTCGGGTTCCCCAAGCCTGTCACCGAGCTTCTTTGAGGTGTCCGAACCAGATCCATCAGGTCCGGAATTCAGCTGCACTGTCCGTAACAGCCACGAAACCACGGAAGTGACGATATCCATAGAAGGATGCATCGCGCGAAGGGAAATGTGGATTTCCGCCAAAACGTTAATCTGAAGCGTCAGAAGAGCGAGAGTTGCCGATTGTTTTCAGACAATACTCGCCGCAGTCACTTAACAAAAACTGAACCTTTTTTTTCACGTTCGATTTTTTTTTTACCTGAAGGCCCTACGGCGGCCAGCGTAGATACACAGCAGAAATCCGGTTCTGAGAATTCACCCAAAATCACTAACCTTATTTCTTCCTCTTAGTGTAGCGACTAATGCTGCGTCTATCCTCCCCTACCCACCTCCCTCCCACGAATTCACACGCCGTTGATGCCAGTTTGCCAGACTCAGAATGGTCCCCTCGGGGAAGACGAGAACAGCAATAAGAAGAAATGCAGGAAAAAATCGTCGTCTTGCTCAGTTGCTTGCCAGCCTGAGCAAGCACTGATACAAAAGCTGGATTCAGAAGCAAGCTCCTGAAATGCTGAGAAGCAACTGAAGACAACTTCTACAAGCAAGCTCTCTCCAGGAACAAGCTCTTCAGAAATCCTGAGAAGGGCTGATGCAGAGAAACTGGTTCAGGTCGGACCAGAAAGCTGAAGCGAGGGGCTCGAGGTTCAAATGCAGGGGTGTGGTAGGAGGTCTGGTCTGGTCACCCGAGAGAAGCTGCTCAGGCTCGGAAATTCGCTTCGGCAGAGGCAGGGAATACTTCTGATTGCGCTTGCGTCCCTCCCATAATCGGGCAAGAAATGTAAATTTCGTAAGAGCCAGGTTCCAACTGGCAATTCGAGTTGAAAGTTCACTGGGAAACACGTGGAGTACAGTGAGCTTGTGTAAGTCGAGGTACTTGGAGGGGGAAGCAAGTAATGAATTAGCCGGGCCCAGACCCCGAACGGGTGCCTTCTTGGCCCGAACCTTTCCAGGGCAACCAGCAATTGCAGTGAATTTGCATAACATGCTTCGGCAGGAATCGAGGCTGTTGCCGAGCTTATCAGGCAGACTCCCGTCAATGGAGATTGTCGATTTGACCATGCATATACTTGTAAACATCACAAGTCAATCTGATCATGCATACACTGTGCGAGAGCCTCTGTATATATAAACATCACAAAGCTGATGACAATCTTCATGATGACAATTTTGATGGAGGACCCATATATTACACACACACGGGAAATACAAATACGCAAGGGAAAATCTCAGTCAACTTTGTTGGCCTGCTGCTATTGCATCAGGGTGTACCGGCACTGGTGCAAAATAATTCGTCACGATGCCCATAACCGCGAAACTGCAGCCAAGTGAAGCGGAAGACAGGGTAGGGAAGCATAAGAAGTCCGCAAATAGCGTGTGGGTGTATGAAAATAATATGTAAGAAAGGTGAACGAAAATTGGGAGCTGAAGGCAAGAAATGAGAAAGTCACAGGAAGGAATTTGAAGGAGCAGAACAGAAGACAAGGTCCTCCCAGCCAGGACATGATAACAAGAAACAGCTCAGCCTTCTACAGTGTATGCGCTGAAAATGCAGGATAACCTGGCGTAGCGATCCTTACCTGAGCGCAGTAATTATTTGCTTTAAATCATGCTCCACATATTTCATGTTTGCCAGAGCTTGTGCTGCACAAAGAAGAGCCAGCCAGCAGGCAAGCTTTTGCTGCATGGAGAAAATAGAGTAAGACAAATGAGAGAATGACGAAAGTGGATACGTGTGAGAGAGCAGGAAGAACACGATTGGACAAACGAGTGGAAGAGGAAGAAGGGAAAACGGCCAAAGCAAGAACGGGTAGCCGAATCGGCGCCCAGAACTTTAGATCCGTCCGCCCGTCTTCACTCCTGTCATGCAGACAAGCAACATCAGCTCATGAAGGAAAGACACTCACGCCAATTTCCCTCTTTCCACCTGCTCCTGAAGTCAATTAACAAAAACGCTACCTGCTTCTCTCCTCTCACCTACTACGTCGTTGCCTCCTCAAAGCACCCGTTGAGAACCTCACCCCCGCTTCATGACGCCGTAGATTCCAAAGTTTCTGCTCCTCGTCAGACCCATTCGGCTCCCCACACCGATATTATCAAGCAAGATCTAAGAACACTTAGCTCCCTCCGCTCACCCGCTCCCATCACACCCACTTTTCGTCCAAGTGGTTTGCAGCTGCACGGCCAACCCGTACATGAGACCCTGGCTCCCGGCTTTCCTCAACGCACCCCCCACGCCAACATTACCGAAAGGGATCTGAAAAACACCGAGCCCTTTCCGCTCATCCGCATCATGACGCCGGCGACCCCAATATCTTTGCAACTCTTCCGACCCATTCCCACACCGACATCATCAATCGGGATCTGAGAAAACTTGGCCCTCTCCGCTCACCCGCATCATGACACCGGCGATCCCAAAAAAGATGGCCATCATGCTCGCCATGTCGATCGGCAGATCCTCCGCATTCACCACCGGGGGGACATACTTCTTAACCGCGTCTGGTCTCCGCGGGTCTCCGCTCGTGCTCACGCTGCCGCTGCTGCTACCTGCGCTGCCTCCTGCTGTCAACCGCTTCATCTCTGACTTACCAAGCTACGGATCGAAAAACGCTGGCACGTATGAAACGATCGAGTTGCGGCGAATCGGGATCTGCAGGAATCAAGCAAGTCGCACAAGGTGCGGTGTACTGCTGTATATGGGCAGAGTGTGTTGCGGACGGAAAATCTAACACTTCAGAACTAGAGCACCTTGCTCTTGAATCCAGGCCACAAGGCGATACATAAGATAATGATAACCGCTAAAAGTAGACTCGTTTGATGTTCAAATCACCACAAATCTTAGAGCGAATTAAATAAAACAAATCCTTCATGTTTTACAACAGCTTTCTTGTATCGGGGGTTTACGGAGTAGCATTCTTTTGACAAGTGGCCTTAAGAATTTATTACTATTTATCAAAATTTATAAATGCATTACCATGAAAATACTTACTGCGATATTCTCAAATATCGTACAAAAAAACCCATCTCGGACCATTGGGAGAAAAGGGTTTGTTATGTAGTGCATTGGTGCGCCCAAAACCCCCCAAGCTAGCGAGCCTGTAACCCAGTGGGGATCTTGTGACACCCTCCCTCAATGGGATGCCCTAGGACACGGCACAACAGGATCGATATGGGCGTCAGCTGCGCCCACATGGGGACTTGAACCACAGGACCTTTCGCTCTGATTCCATCTCATATTCCCAGACGTACACGTTCCCAGACTCGCCGCAGCAGAATGGGGCGATGAGCATCGCATTGGCTTTGTCATGGAGATCTATCGTTTCTCCATGCCTCAATCCAGTGCCCCTCATTTTTCTATGGGTGTTTGCTATCTGTTATGTCGTGCATCAACTAAACATGTGGCCTCGTGTATCACGGCCATAGTTTTCGCCGACCTTCTCCTTGATTCGGTCCTATGGCACTATGTCAAAATACAATCTTACTTGTAGGCTTTAGTGGGGCACTCCTTATGGGGTACAACACTTTTAGGGTTAGTACTTGTACCCCAACTCTTGCTAATCCAATCATTCCCGCACAGTTGATTCTGACATGGTATTCAGAGCAGAAAACCTGTTAGGTTTTTAGGGCCCACCGATCGTTCCGCTAGTTCCTGCCCGAAGCGCCCTTGCGCTGTCCGGCCCTCTCGCACAGTATCACGCTGCCCTGCAGCTACTCGCACTGCCTGCCCTAGCGCGCTGCCCTGCTGTCACGCGCGCCCCTGCTCCCCGCGAGCAGCTCCTGCCCCGCGCGCCCCCGCTGCCCGCGAGCAGCCCCTACCCCGCGCTCCATTGCTGCCCGCGAGCAGCCCCTGCCCCGAGCGCCCCTGCTGCCCACGAGCAGCCCCTGCCCCGCGCGCCATTGCTGCCCGCGAGCAGCCCTTGACCCGAGCGCCCCTGCTGCCCGCGAGCAGCCCCTGCCCTGCGCGCCCCTTCTGCCCACGAGCAGCCCCTGCCCTGCGCGCCCCTTCTGCCCGCGAGCAGCCCCGCAGCCCTAAATGCGCCAGTGCGCCCCGCAGCCTAGCGCGCCAGTGCGCCCCACAGCCCAGCGCGCCAGTGCGCCCCGCAGCCCAGCGCGCCAGCGCGCCCCGCAACCATAAATAATAATAATAATAATAATAATAATAATAAACTAAAAAAGAAGAAGAAGAAGAAGAAAAAAACGCCAGCGCGCCGTGCTGCCCAGCGCACTGCTGCTGCACACGCTACTACTGCTGCGCTGTGCCTTGCCGAACAGCGCTGCCTAGGCCGAGCCGCGCCGCCCAGCCCGAGCTGCGCCGCCCAGCCCGAGCTGCGCCGCCCAGCTCGAGCCGCCCTCCTGCTACTACTGCTGCTGCTGCTGCTCGTGCTACTGCTGCTGCTCGTGCTACTGCTGCTGCTGGAGGTGCTGGAGGTGCTGCTGGGAGCGCAGGAGGTGCTGTTGGTGCTGGAGGTGCTGGACCTGCTACTGACCGTCAGTGCCTGTCATGGCCACTATCACGGTAGTTTCAGCGGCTAGGGGTGGACAGCAGCTGTTACTGCCTCTCCCGGACGACCCCACCCCTCAGCAGCTTTGTGAAAGGGTTTTTTAGCGATGGAGTCCTGGTGGTGGAGGTTTAGGTTTTATGGGCACTGCACAGCGGCGGCAGCAGCGTCCGCAGAGCACCTTCTCCCTGCAGCGGCCTCGCGACTGTGCTTCTCTGCGGTGCGTCCCTGGTTGTGTAGAGGCTGCTGCTCTAGGTGCTAATGAGTTTGCTGCTGCTCTAGCTGCTCGTGAGTCTGCCAACGCTCTAGGTGCTAGTGCGTCTACTAGCCACAAGTCCTGCCTCAGCTGAGGCCTTGCACACTTTCACGTTTGACTCAGGCGCATCACGTTGCTTCTTTCGTGATTGCACCACAATCACACCACTCGCAGCACCTGTCCAAGTCTCACTGGCTGACCCCACTGGGGGCCCAGTAGTTGTGCGAGCCTCTATTGTCCTCCCGTGTCTGGCGGTCCCCTCCGGGTCTCTCTCAGGTCTCCACCTCCCCACGTTCTCAACGAACTTGTTGAGCAACGCCACCTTCATTCCAAGAGGACATCGTGTGGCAATCTGTAAGTGCTCACGGACTGGCCGTCACCTTGCTACGTTCAATCGTCAGCCTGGGTCCGGCCCGTACACACTGACCACTGCGTATGCACATGAGGCTGAGTCAGGTCAGGTGGCTGCGTCGAGTCAGGTGTCTGCGTCTGGTCAGCTTGCAGCGTCTTGCTCGTGTCGGGTACTCTCTCACCAGACTCTCCTCCGGCACCACCGCCTAGGTCACCCCTCGCTGCCGCGTCTCCGCAGCATGCACTCCCGTCTCCTTGTCTCTGGCCTTCCCAGGTCCCTACCCTCCCTACCGCGCTCGCCTGCACCGCCGTGCCTTCCGTGCGTTGAGGGGTGGCAGCGCTCCGCTCCTCACTCCTCCGAGTTTCCTCCGACCATTGCTCCTCTGCAGACTCTCCACTTGGACGTTTGGGGCCCGACCCCCATCGGTGGAACGGACCAGGAGCGCTACTTCCTGCTGGTTGTTGACGACTACACATGCTACACCACTGTCTTCCCCTTGCGGCGCAAGGCGGACGTCAGCGGTATTTTGATCCCTTGGATCCGTACTATTCGTCGCCAGCTGCGCGAGCGGTTTTGTCGGGACTTCCCAGTCATGCGTATGCACTCTGACAGGGGCGGTGAGTTCTCTTCTGACCTCCTTGCGGAGTTCTGTCGATACGAGGGCATCCGCCAATCGTTCACGCTTCCGGCCTCTCCTCAGCAAAATGGGATTGCTGAGCGTCGCATTGGCTTGATCATGGAGGTTGCTCGTACCTGCATGATCCATGCGGCTGCTCCCCGTTTTCTGTGGTCGTTTGCGGTCTGATACGCTGCGCATCAGCTCAACCTCTGGCCCCGTGTCTCTGAGCTAGAGACCTCGCCCACACTGCGGTGGACGGGGAAGATTGGCGTTGTGTCAGTGTTTCGGGTCTAGGGCGCGCTCTCCCTTGTTCGCGATGCCAAAGCGAGTAAGCTCTCCTCTCGCACTATCCGCTGCGTCTTCCTTGGATTCCCCACCGACGCCCCGCCGTGGCAGTTCTACCACCCGCGCTCGCGTCGCGTCTTCTCCTCCCTGGACGTCACCTTTGACGAGTCTGTCTGTTACTACAGGCTATACCCGCACGCATCCCACCCGGTCCCCCTTGCGCCTCTCTTCTTGGTACCAGTCCCACCCCGGTATACCCCCTCCCCCCCCAGGGTCCTGCTCCCTCAGGTGTGTCTCAGGTAGATCCACCCCCCTTGGTTGAGCCTTTGGAGATCCCTTCTGACTCCTCTGGCCCAGCTGAGGGGGGTGACCTCGCCGCTGACGACAGGGCGACCACTCGCCGCTCTCCACGCTTGGAGACCCCCCCTGGTTTTCCGCCTCGGCCGTCTTCACCGCCTCCGCAGCCTGCTGCTGTGGACTCTGGAGCTGAGACTGCTGGTGTTGAGCCTGGGGATGCTGAGACAGAGGGTGAGGGTTCTGGGGGTGCTACGACTGGGAGTGTTGCGACTGGGGGTGCTGGCTCTGGGGGTGCTGCGACTGGGGGTGCTAACTCTGGGGGTGTTGCGAGTCCTAGTGGCGGTGGAGCTATGGGTGACCTTACTAGAGGTCCTGGAGCTGGACAGCCACTGCAGCCTGATCTACTTGAGACGCTCTCGCTGCAGGCGATTCGTGCGTGGATCGTTCGGCAGGCAGTCCTGGTGGTGGAGGGCACGGTCCTGCTGGTGCTGGAGCTTCTAGTCCTGGAGGTACTGCTGGTGCTGGAGGTACTGGAGGTACTGCTGGAGGTGCTGGAGGTGCTGAAGGTGCTGGAGGTACTAGAGGTGCTGCTGGTGCTGGAGGTGCCGGAGCTACTAGTCCTTGAGGTGCTACTGGTGCTAGAGGTGCTGGACCTACTAGTCCTGGAGGTACAGCTGATGCTGGAGGTGCTGGAGGTACTGGAGGTGCTGGTGCTACTGAAGCTGGAGCTGCGGGAGCTGCTGGTCCTGGAGGTGCTCGTACTAGAGGTACTGGAACTGCCAGAGCATGTGGTGCTGGTGGTGCTGGAGGTGCTGGAGGTGCTACTGGAGCTGCTGGCGCTGGAGGTGCTGGAGGTACTGCTGGTGCTGGAGGCGCTGGAGCTGGAGGTACTGGAGGTACTGGAGGTGCTGAAGCTGCTGGTCCTGGAGGTGCTCCTACTAGAGGTGCTGGAGCTGCCGGAGCAGGTGGAGCTGCAGGTTCTGGAGATGCTGGAGGTGCTGGTGCTGGAGGTGCTGGTGCTGCTGGTGCTGGAGGAGCTCGAGCTGCTGGTACTGCCCTGCGCCGACTGTTTTTCTACCTGCAGCCGCAGTCGTCCCTACCACCGCCTGACTCGGTCCTTCGCCATGTTTCTTAGTCTCCCGTCTTCCACTGGCCTCACTCCACCTCCCCTGTGTCCACCGACAGACTAGTCTCAGCCACAGCTACTGCCTGGCTCCCCGCTGCCTACTCCTGCTCCTCAACTGAGGTGACAGAGTCCCTGACTGAGCGT